TCCTTCCGAGGAGGGGCTGGTGGGTTTGAACCGCCAGCCGTCTGGTTAGCAGGCAAGTGTCTTAGCCACTATGCTACCAGAGCTCCCCCCAAAACTATCCTACAAAGATGAAAAGTTTGCACTGTTTTTGTAGGCTGATTTTCTTAACACAGGCATCCTCATTTCATTGTGCTTTGCTTTACTGTGCTTTGTAGATACTGAGTTTTTTTTTTTTTTTTTTTTTAAACAAATTTAAGGTTTGTGGCAACTCTGCCCCAAGCCAATCTATTGGTGCCATATTTCCAACAGCATGTGCTTATTTCATGTCTCTGTGTCATAGTTGGGTAATTCTCACAGTTCAAACTTTTTCATAATGCTGTTCCACACTTAACAGACTCCAGTATAGTATACACGTAACTTTTATCTGCACCCACCAGCCACTCCTCAGAAGGAAGGTTGGGGAATCTACTTCCGTAGTGATATTGCCTTGGAAACCCAAGCAGGGGCTGCTATCAGTCGCATCCAACTTGATAGCAATGAGTTTGGTTTGGTTTGGTTGGGAAATCAAAAAATTTGTGTGAATCACTTTATTGTGGTGTTTGCTTTACTGTGGTGGTCTGGAACCGAACCCACAATATCTCCAATGTACATCTGTAGTACAAACAATTGTAATAGTCAGTATTGAAGTTATAGAAATTATAGATATACATAAAGCTATAGCTATTTACATAGTAACAAATCATTTTAATGCTTTCAAACTGCCAAAGAGGAAAGGAGGCCGCATCTCCTGACCTCCTCTAACCTCACAAGAGGAAGACAGACTCACCATCAGCAGCCCAAGGCCTATTCTTGCGAGGCCAGACACACTGCCTCCCTCCAGCCCTTTCATCAACCCTGACACCAACCTTCCTCCCGCAGCATCCATCACCTCTCTGCTGGGTTTGATAATTCGCTGTAGTGGCCACACAGAACTCATAGATTATGGGGTTTATTAGGGAAGCAACAGGCTACAACCCAAGTTCAGAAATGCACTCAGTCTCTCACCGCCAGCCATCTCACTTAGCAGCCAGCAATCTCTCTCTCAGCTGCATGTGTCTCCCATGTCTCTCTCAGCAGTGCGTGTCTCCCGCATCTCTCAGGAGCATGTGTCTCCCATGTCTCTCTTTCAGCAGTGCATGTCTCTCAGAAGCGCATTTCTCTCAATAGCACAGAGGTCTCTCTCAACCAGCAGTCAGAGAGACTCCTTCTGCCTCTAGGAGGGCTCCTTTTGAGCCTGGCAGAGTGGCCAAACTAACCAATCCCAACATCAGAATTCTATACACCTGAGGGAGAGAGAACTTCCCAGAAAATTACTTCATGTCGCTCCCAAAGGAAATACCTCAGGTGGATAATTTTATCAGAGCTACTCAGTTGCTCACAGCAAATTCCACCATGCAGTGTACAAAGACTTATGGTTAGAAAATCCACACTATGCAATTTACTATACAGCACAAACCCAGAATACTTTCCTATAATGCCAAACAACCTCCATTGGCATTGTTCATTACTACTTATGGTTACCCTTTAATTATTTATTTAAAGCCAAATTATACAATCATTCCTTTTGAAAAAGTAAAATCTCATTTTCTTCATTTGTCACAGTCAAAGAGGTATCCATTACAAAAATGGTTCAATGTTTAACTTCCTAAAACTGTTTTATAATCTCTCACTTTATATGTATTTTCCTGCAAATCTGGGACTACAGTTGACCCTTGAACAATGTGGGGATTAGGGATGCCAACCTCCCATGCAGTTGACAATCTGTGTATAACTTTTGACTCTCCCATAATCTAACTACTAATGGGCTACTGCTGATCAGAAGCCTTACCAATACCATCAATTGTTGATTAGCTCAGTTCCTGCTGTATAGTTAATAGATTTTCACATGAAGACACACATAAACAACAGGTAATTTATCAATTGTACACCATGATGATTATTTACTATTCATTAAGTAGTAGTTGATCATAAAGATATTCATCTCGTAGTGCCTAAGGCATCCGATTGCTAACCAGAAGGCTGGAAGTTCAAACCCACCCATTCTGTGGAAGGAAGACTGGGCAATCCGCTTCTGTAGAGATGCCTCAGAAACCCAAGGAGGGGTTGCTATGAGATGGAATCCACTCAATAGAAGTGAGTTTGGTTTGGTTTGGTTTTTTTCTTCCTGAGTAGGCTGAGGAGGAGAAGGGAGAGGAGGGGTTGTGTGCCGTGTCAGGGATGGCAGAGGCAAAAGAGCTGGAGAAGTTGGAAGAGGAGGCA